GAGGCGCAGGAGGTGGAGGCGGAGGACGAGGAGATCGAGGAGGAAGAGGAGGCGGATGAGGACGAGAAAGAGGAGGAGGAGGAGGGGGTGGAGGAAGAGGAGGAGGAGGAGGAGGAGGAGGGTGAGGGTGAGGGCCACCGAGAGCGCGTCCGATCCGAACACGCCTCAGGAACAGATGGGACCCTGAGGGCCGCAACGCGGCGGAAATATTATGAACTGGGAGGGCAGGCGGGGGCCAGGGAAAACCGACGCCACAAAACCGCTCCCAGGAGGGCGAGACACGTTACGTCTGCGCCTTGCCCTCGGGGCGCTTGGGGCGCCCTGGTCGGCCGTGGAAGATCCTGTCGATCAACCCCAGCTGATTAGCCCTCGTGCTCGGATTCTCTGAGAGCCCAGCACAGGGGCGACGGAGCTTCCGAACGCTCCGTGACGTCTCGAGGGTCGTCGTGCCCGCACACCTGCGGCAGCAGTAGACTGAATTCACACAAAAAACGTCATGGCCCAATGCCGCAAATTCGGCAATGAACTCGTTCGACCCCGAACTGTTTGAAACCTCGCCTACGGCAGGCTCCTGGGGAGGGCCCGTGGGCCCAGGAAGGGGACCCTCCGAGGCCTCTGAAGGCCCTTCCCCAAGAAACTCCGCGACAATCACCTGCGACGGGGCGACGCGGGGGTCCGACACTTTGACCCAGACCTCCACCGAATTCTTAAACCATTCCGCACAGGCTACCCTCTGGAGGCTAGAGGGCTCACATCTCCTTCCCGACCCCGTCCTAAGCCACGCTAGGGTCGAGTCCGATCGAGCCGATCGCCCGCAACTCCTGCACCTGTGCTCGTTGAGCTTCTTGCACCACCAAAGCTCATGGTCAGAACCCCGTCCGAATACGACTGGCTGCCCCAGGATCTCACGAGCCTCAGGATCCTGGACGGGTGGTGGGGGACCTCGGCCCCAACTCTCCGAGACGATAACCCGCAAGCACGCCCAAGACACAAACTGCAACGTGGCCTTATGGACCTTCAGGGCCTCCGAGAGCGACTGGGAAACCGTGTTGGCGATCATGTGGTGCGCCGCACCCGCCTTGGCGAAATAGTCAGCCCAGGCATTGCCGAGCCAGTTCTCCACCCCTTCAGGATTCTCCAGCACACTGTCGAGGTCACGGCGTGCAGGAGCCCACTCAAAACGAACAGGGTACTCGAGTACCCGACGCTGCGCAGCCTGAAAAATCTCTCGCCATATCCTGGCGTGCTTGCCTCGGCCGTGCTGGAGGGATTGATCCCAGGAGTTGCCCTCGGTAACCAGTCCCAGGAGGTCAGACACAAACAGCTCGTGATCTGGATGAAATTCCAAGCCCATTTTGATCGCATATCTCTCAGCACGGCCAACAGCCTGCACATAGAAGGGGGCAGGGGTCCGTACACAGCACGGACAGGCAAAAGAGTCTTGGGGTCCAGCTGGATGCATGAATACCCACACCGCCTAGTCTCTGGAACGCTGGATGCGAGGCCCGAGCCGTCGGTGTAGCTCTTGGGGCCCCAAGGCCCGTCGGTATCGCCCCAAAGAAGAACTTCTGTGCTTATAGTGTCGAGCCCAGGAATACCCACAGGAGGAGCAGGGACCCCGAAGACCAGATAACTGGAGTCCCAAGCCAGACGCCCATCATACCATTCGCCCCCCTTCAGGAGCATGCCTCTGGTTGCCTCCAAGTCCTCTGAGATGTCCAAGAAGTCCTCGCGCTGCTTGAGCAGCTCGGGGCAGTCGTAGAGCACGTGGCCCCAAATACCCTGAGACTGGGCCCCACAAGCAGCACACGGCCTGATTGGTACCTTATGGCGGGCATCTTGGAGCTGAGGGATGGGGAGGTTTCCCGACCAGTGCGCTTGGAGGGCCCCGAGTCTACGAACGCACTTGATGCTCTTCACCGAGTTACGTAAGCCTCGGTGCCATATCTGCTCGCCAGGCTCAGCAGTATAAAAAATGCTTGAGCAGC